TCTCTCCTCTCTCTCTCTCTCTCTCTCTCTCTCTCTCTCTCTCTCTCTCTCTCTCTCTCTCTCTCTCTCTCTCTCTCTCCTCTCTCTCTCTCTCTCTCTCTCTCTCTCTCTCTCTCTCTCTCTCTCTCTCTCTCTCTCTCTCTCTCTCTCCTCTCTCTCTCTCTCTCTCTCTCTCTCCTCTCTCTCTCTCTCTCTCTCTCTCTCTCTCTTCTCTCTCTCTCTCTCTCTCTCTCTCTCTCTCTCTCTTCTCTCTCTCTCTCTCTCTCTCTCTCTCTCTCTCTCTCTCTCTCTCTCTCTCTCTCTCTCTCTCTCTCTCTGTCATTTTCTCTCTCTCTCTCTCTGTCTCTCTTTCTCAGTCTCTCCTTCTCTCTCCCTCCTCCCTTTCTCTCTCTCTCTCTCTCTCTCTCTCTCTTCTCTCTCTCTCTCTCTCTCTCTCTCTCTCTCTCTCTCTCTCTCTCTCTCTCTCTCTCTCTCTCTCTCTCTCTCTCTCTCTCTTCTCTCTCTCTCTCTCTCTCTCTCTTCTCTCTCTCTCTCTCTCTCTCTCCTCTCTCTCTCTCTCTCCATTCAAGTTATTTCACAATTTGTTTTGTTTATACAGCAGTGTTAGACTTTTGTATGTTTCATTTTGAAACAGATATAAAAAAAACATATAGTATTTGTAGCAGGAACATTGAGTACTTTATAACTAGCATCCTTGAATTAGCATTATTTTGCTTGTGTTTTATTTTCTAATAGTTTATTATGTTCTTTCTGAGCTGCTAGGAATGTAATTTTGGTAAGTTCTAGTGTTTAAGGCTATTTTTCATTTTATATAGTGTTATATGGGACAGTAAAAATAAGGTTTTCACCGTTAGATTTTAGTTTTCAAAATACAGAGTAGTAGGAGATTTGACTGCATCCATTGGTGCAGGAAAAAGTAAATTACATTGTGTAGACTGATTACAAATTTATACCTCAAAGAATACCTTTCCTCACAGACTGAATCATATTATTGAAATAACTCCCTGTGGTATTAGTTTGTAATGAAAGCAGGAACTAGGTATTGAAATATAAATTTAATTCTCTGGATTGTTTATGTAAAATGATGAGTATTTAGGCATGTTGTGAGAGGATAAAGTTAAACTAAAGTTTTTATCTGTGTGAATTAAACAGACATTCAGATTTGCTATCTCATAAAAAAGAGTGTATGCTGAATATGTATAGGTCTAATATTCTTCTACAGATGAGTGCTTTACTTGTTCATCAAATTTATATTATATATATATATTATATATATATATATATATATATATATATATATATCTATATATAACATACAGCATATATTATATATATATATATATATATATATATATATATATATTATATATATATTATATATATGATATATATATATATATATATATATATATATATATATATATATATATATATATATATATTATATATATATATATATATATATATATATATATATATATATATATATATCAATGTTCATTGATGATATATTAATGCCAATGGAACTTTCAGTATTTCTGATTTCACCAACTTTTCTTTATGTTAGGTTTTTGCATTGTTGGGAAATATATTGAAATTTGCCTATAGAAAGTCTATTACATTATTTTAGAAAATATGTTAACATATAAGTAGTTTATAAAGTCCATTGGTAATATTTGCAGAGAAGTGTGGTGAAAAAGGTAACTGTGGTGTTGTTGACTGGAAGCCGTGTCGAGTTAAGCTGTGATCCTTCTGTTACACGTGTCAACCATGTACTGCAGGTTAGTCTATGGAGGTCAATTAACTGATAACAATTTTTTTTTCTTTCTTTCTTTTTTTAGTGTAGGATTTAGAAGTGATAAACATTTTATTTTTTTTTTCTTCAGTGTAGGATTTAGAAGTATACAAAAGTTTAATGGTCTCTTTTTAGGTGTTGGGATGAGTGACAGATTAATATGTGGTGTCATAATTATTGTTGTCATTCACATTCATCTTTTTTGAGCCAGAAAGGAGATATTGATGTTCCCTTATCTCTCCTTTTTATACTTGTGTTGAGATTGTCCTGTGTCAAATATCAATTAGTAATCTTTTACTATATGTGATATGATACTTAACATGTGTTCCTGAAGAAGTATAGCACAGTTATAGATTACAAGAGTTATTGCCATGAACATTTAACTGATACCCGATATATTAAAATGATTAAATCACAATTATGAACATGAAAGAAAATCCATCCATCCCATTTGTGATTTTGAAGAAAGATAACAGATTTCCTGTGATGTTCCCTGCCATTGTCCTTATGTTACATCATATTACAGGCTGTATTAGAGGAGGAATCCATTGCCCTTGCCCACTTGTTGGGTCTTGCAGTGTTGGGTGGAGGTGAATTTCACTTTGTGGCCCCACAGACAAAGCTGCATAAGGTGAGTTCTTTTTCATTTACCAGTATGAGCTGTATAGAATTAGTCTGAACATAAATCAGAATGTCTTACATTACAGAGAAATATCTTGTCTTATTGAAAAATGATTTTGTATTTTTGTTGAATAAGTACTGCTCTTATTTTTGGCAGGTTGCTCCTCCTGGCTGGAAAGAACGCCATCCAACAAAGGATGGACTGATCCAGGATAATTTTACACTTCATTTGAGAATTATGTATTATTTAAAGTAAGCACATTTATTCTTACTTTCATGTGTGTCTAATTCCTTTTGTTTGATTTTCATTTAATTGTATTTCTTTCATTTATAAGTTATCACTGTTTCTTTTATTTATATATTATTAATAGAAAAAAATCTTTTATGTTTTCTAGTTTAGAATATGTCTTTAATACCATTTAGAAGTTAGACTATATCAAACATTTTCTTGGTTACATTTTAATTTAATGTGGAGTTACATTTCTACTGGAAAGGTACTACAGCAAAATAGTATGAAATACTGATCAAGATAAAAATAAAGATTAAGAAAAAAAGGATTAGCCTTTATGTTGTAAGTAAATCAACTTGTTCTTAAAATCATTATTATAGCACTCTTTTCACCAAACAAAATATAATCTAAGGTTTAGCCATGTGGATGAGATGGATGCCCCGTCGAGGCAGTTGTTATACCTTCAACTGCGACATGACCTGTTGGAGAGTCGCTTGCCCTTGTCAGCTGAGTTGTTACTGCAGCTGGCATCACTTGCTCTACAGGCTGAATTTGGTGACCAAAGACATCAGGTAGGAGTCTTCCTTGAATAGCTTGAAAAAAATTATAGTGGGTATCGATGTGTTGTGGTAAAATGTACTTAAATTATATAAAAGCATTCAAAAGCAGTATGCAGGATATTTTTCTTTTAGTAAATATTCAAGTATTCTTTGTATAATTGATTACTATCATATGCAGCTAATTATCATAGTAAAGCAATGTTTTATTATTTCTTATCATATATGACACTGACTCAGTAAGTACAACTTATGAATTCTTGTATGCTGCAACCTATAGAAAAGGTTATCTCCCAAACTACAAGTAGTTCCTCTGGTGGTACTGTTTCCTAAAACCTACACCAAACTATCAGTACCTCTGAAAAGTACCAATGGTATTCTCCAGCAGTGATTTCTTTCTCTTGGTACATTTTTTTGGCAATTACAGCTAGGGCCAGTGCCAGTAGGTTTGGAGCTGTTTTCTTATCATTTACAATAATTTGTACTTTTTGATACATACAGTATATTTGTAAGTGGAGAACAAATCGGAAATTCCCAGGGGTGCATCCCAAGTACAATCTTTTTAAACTAAAGGGAATAAAAGAGAACTGATATAAAGAAATAAGTTATTAACTATCATTCCAACCCTTTGACCCATAGGATGCAGGCTACTTCCTTCCTGAGCACTATGTCCCGGAGCCCCTCCTCCGTAGCAGGCAAGCAGTACACTTAACAGAAGAGCTTCATAAACGCCACTCAACTTTGACTGGTTTGCTTTATACAGTTGCTCAGACACGCTTCATTAGCCTCATTCAAGATAGCCAGCATTATGGAACCCATTATTATCATGTGACACAGGTAAGGACAATCAAGCATTTGAATGGTAGTGGTAACCTTGCTTGCCAAAGCCTGTTTAGTGTTTGATAATTATGCATGTATCTTAAGAATTTAATGAGTCATCAAGGAAGTTAGTACCTTTTCTTATGTCAAGTAAACTTTTGTTGCATGTCAAAATTAATTTCTTCTGTAGTTGCTTTGTTATTTGTTTAACTCACTTTAATATATGAAGATTTTGATTCTTGGACTCATATTATAAAGAAAAACATTTTTGCAATGCATCTCCTACTTGTAGTTGGTGTATGTCTGTCATTTTGATCAAGCCACTACAGGTACGGTAAGTGTTTGGTATATATCTTGGACCCATATTATAAAGAAAAACATTTTTGCAATGCATCTCCTACTTGTAGTTGGTGTATGTCTGTGAATGTGTTTGACAGATGCAGGGTCATATCTTTGGGCATTCTGATATTACAAGCACTACAAGCACATTAAGCTAAAGGTAGTGATCTGTGAGGAGCTCTTGTCTGAAAAGAAGGATGTAAAAGCTTGCACACATAATGTTAAGAAAGGGAGGGGGCAGTGAATAGATATGTGTGGAGTGGACAGGGTGAACTCAGCCCAGTGTCTGTTGACCATACACACACAGCCATACCCTGGCTTGGAGGGGTCAAGAGCACAATGAATGAAAATATTGAATTTAATCCTAATACTAGGAGTGAACTTAGTGAATAATTTTCTAATCATAGTCTTCATATCATGGTGGTGAATATCTGGAGATTAATAATATTACTGGCATTGCATCTTAACAGCTAATGTTCTCACATGCATGTTTTAAAATGGTATATAGAGAAAGAACTTGCCCATCCGTTAGTTACCTCTTTTAGCTTTTGTCTGTGTTTTAGTTTCATAGCAATTTCCCATGTCAGTAGCACATCTCTACCTGTAGTTTAAGGGTATTTTTACTCTACCACTATCCCCT